AAATAATAATTATTAATTCATTATTAATATATAATCTTGACATAAAACAGGTCTACATATTTCAGTGTCTGTGTATGTGTGTGTTTGTGGGGGGGGGGGGGGTAGTGGGGTTGGTTCCTGGAGTATATTTCATGCAAATGCATGATAAACTGCTTTACACATGGGTTGGCCTAACAGCTGGTTTTACAATAAAGTGTATTAGTGTATTTCCACTTTTGCAGTCAAATTGAAAAAAAACACACTTTATGTTTTGTATGTGTTCCCATTCACACAGCATACCTTTCTGGTACAATAATTTTTATTGTTGCATGCAGAATAACAATACAAATGTTCACCCACACAGGGGGTAGAGAACAGAGATCAAACCATGAAGACGTGTGTTATGCCAAATGCAACTAAACAATATGAAATATATAAATATACACATTACTGCCATATGATGAGAGCCGTAAGTCTGCCTAAATAACTTAAGCCTTAATGCCTGGTGTCTTAATAGATGAGAACAGAATCAAACATTATGAGCCATTCAGGCAAGGTGGGAAGGACTTACGACCACCAATGGTTCCAAGCTTTCAAAAATTTAGCATGAGATTCATGTAAAATACTGGACATTTTTTGATTCAACATCAGGGTGGTCAGGTTGGTCTTCACTGCATGAAATGGTACTGATGGTTCCAGGCCTTGGCTATAGAGCTTTTGGTGGCAATAAACAGGTAAGTAATAAGCTTTTGCTGATAGGAAAATAAACCCTCGATCAGACAATGTAGTAAAGCTAATTTGGCATCTTTATGAACAGGGATATAGAATATGGGGTACAGAATTCCAAAAACCCTGGACCAGAACCCAGTGAGACATGGACAGGACCACCAAATATGGACCACATGACCTCGCTGACCACAGCCTCTGAAGCATGTTACCTAGGTTATGTGTTTTTGTGAATACACCTTAATACCTGTAGGAGTATTTAGATATACACAGCTAGGTCTGAGAGTTCTTACATAAAAGAGGTAATTCCATCTGCAATATACATTTATTGATAGAGCTACAAAATATACAAAAATTGCACACTAAGCAGTATTTACAATACAATACAAATGTTCAAAGGCCATAGATTGGAAGGGAAAAGTAGGATTTCATCTCAGAGAAGTCACCCAATGGCGGAGTTGAGCATATCGGAAAAATTTTGCCCACGGTGCTCCATGGGTCGCACAGATGGAGGACAAGGAAGGAAAGGTACGGGATGAGAGAAAGTGACAGACCTGGTTGAAGTGTGGGTTGTTAAAACAGTGGAAGGATAGGCAAAAAAGGGCACATGATGTTAGCAGACCGAGTCCCAAACATTCAAGCTATGAAGCTTTAAGGGACTAAGGGAGGGGGTGTGCAGCCTGTAGGGAAGCTACAGCAGGTACACCATAGGAGTTAGCGCACAGTTGGGAAGTTCCAGAAGTATCAAAAGGGGGGATATTTGTAGTGGCATGAAGCAGAGCAAGTTGGGAGATTTCTGCCACTGTGTAATACTTCACCACATTAAGAACCCTCAAACCTCCCCTTAGTCTTTGGATGTATAAGTAGAGTGAGAGACTCCAGGGTGCTTAAAGGCCAAGATGAAGGAAAGGATTCTGTTTTGTAGTAAGTGTAGGTACAAGGAAGGTGCATGAATGGGCACAATTCTGAAATAATATACATTTTTAGGAAGAATGGTTATTTTAACCACGTGGATGTGATCTATCCACGATGAGGAGGAGAATTGCCACAACTGCATGAGGGAGGTGATAGTCCAGAGGAGTGGATAAAGAGTAGAGTAAGAGGAAGTCAGTTTGAAGAGAAGAAGTAGCTCAATAATAGGGAAAATACATTTGAAGATGTGGCACAGACGAGAGAGGTAGGGAAATATTGAGTGCCGTTGTTTTGTGTGGATTATCCCAGAGGCTAGAGAGGTCATACTAGCAAGAGAGAAGGTGCTGCCAGTTGGGCAAGCTGATTAAAGGCTTGGTTATAGTAAGGAGTGAGTCATCTACAAACAAATTCATTTTATAATGAACACCCGCATATTGAATGCCAGAGATATTGGGGTCCATCCTGAGTGCAATAGCTAGAGGTTCAAGAGCTATGATAAAAAAAGATAGGGGAAAAGGAAGACCCTTACCTGGTGCCCTGATAGATAGAGGTGTTTTTTTAATATTTGCTAAACAAATGAAAACATTTTGAAAAAAGATTTTCTACGTTTCTGTTAAAAAATTGGCAAAAAAGTAATTTTCCTTCTTCACTGATGTACACTGATGAGGCTGCATTGATGGGTACCAATAAAGCTGCACTGATAAGGCTGCACTAATGGGCACTTATGAGGCTGCACTGATGGGCACTGGGGCTGCACTGATGGGTACATATGAGGCAGCACTGATGGACACTGAAAAGCTACAGTGATGGGCACTGAGGAGGTGGCACTGATGGGCACTGATAGGGAGCACTGATGTGCACTGATAATTGCACTGATGGGCACTGATTGGTGTAGCAATTGTGCATACAAAGATGGACGCGGGTCCTCCATCTTGCTAAGAAACCTCCATCTTGTATCTCTCTCTCTCTCCTAGACAAATCCCCCCCTCCCTCTCATGAATACTCCCTCTCTGTTGAGTGGCACGTGGTCCCTGGATGCTGAGTTCAAAAAGGCATCAAGGCCCAGCGGGAGAGCTCATGGTCCTAAACCCCAATTAGCCTGGCCCTGAGCTTTTAGGTCCCGTATGTCTGCGAGACTCTTGCTGGAAAAGGATCATAAAAGCCATAAACCCAGCCCTTCACTGAGCTTCAAAGACATTCCAGACAGTGGTATATGGATGATTATTCAAACAGCATAGTGCTATTGCTAATATTGCCGGGTTTCCTCTTTCTCTGTACAAAAAGGAGGTGGTGGCAGTGTGAAGAGTTAATTGCGTAATTAACCTTACCCAGTAACAATCGCTCTCAGGCTGCAGGCCCACAGATTGTGGTCCATTACCTGGAAAATCTTTGTGCATGGTGCAGCTGGGCGTGGCATTGTTATGCATGTGACAGTGCGGTTTTAGATTGGCTAGTCCTTCGGTCACAAGTTTGGTGAGAAGGGCTGGGGTCTGACGCCGCAATCGTCACAATTGGCACTGATGGGCTGCAATCATACCAAGGCGCTGATGATCAGTGCCCTGACTATTAGTGTATACAATGTACTGTCAGACTGGCTGGTTATTGGCTCTCCTTTCCACACACAGAGACAGCATGAGGCAAGGAAAATGTCGATAATCGGCAAATCTGTTTACATGTGACCAACTGTGATTGGATACAGCTGATCACATGGTGAAGAGCTGCTGTGATTGGCCTTTTACCATGATCTGGGATAAGCTGTGCCCAAAGGACACAGCAGTCACAGAACGTGCCCAGAACTGGAGAGCCGAGCTGTAGCCATCTTTTAGCAGTCAGCAAGTAGTTAAAGGGCCATAGTACCAGAAAAGTGCTGGAAGGGATTTATTGAACTCTCCCACTAATCTTATGGTACATTTTTTAATGAAATGAATGGTCTGGCGACAGGGTCTTTTTAACACTGGAGTGAAACGTAGAAAAGACTACTAGTTTGACTTATTTAGTATATTAAGCCTTCAAAGATTTGAGAAGTAATGACTTTAAGCAAAGTAGCTTTTATAGCAATGGTAGTGATTTTGCATGTTTAGACAATCTGGTTGCTGAATATTTCTTTTCTATTTAAAATGCATTTTATTTTTAATCTGCCTAAAGACATTCTATTCCTAAATAGCATTTTGCACAATTTGCCAAAAAAAAATGTTAGAGTTTTGCAGACTTTTGAAAATACTTTTCTTCTGTGCACATTTGTTCCTCTGACAATGTAAAACATTTCCAAATTCTTTGTGCATGAAAATAGTTTTAAATTTGACTATTTTTTATAGTACTCTGCCAGTCCTGCATTATGTTTCTGTTGCAGTATACAATTACAGTAAGTTCTACTGCTTGAAGCAGTCTTATTTACTGTCTGCTTTTTATACCTAATGCTCCGCCTGGTGGTTTCAGCTACTTCTCTAAGAGCATGTGTCTTTGAAAGTATATGTTTGAGAGTAGCTGTGAAGCTTTCTAAAGATTTCATTATTGCTAACCGACATGTACAAGGACGTTTAAGTAAATGTGCTGTATATCTTATGGTTGGAATAAAATGACAGGAGATGCACGTAATAGACGTGCAGAAGTTTGTGCTTCTTTGTCAGCAGGCTACATATTTTCTATGTTCCTTACTAATTTCACTGTGTTATTCTACTTTCTAAATATATTTGATCTACACATGTGGCAAATAGAGGACACAAATAAACATCTCTGGAATGACATATCACATCAGAAACATTTTATAAAATAAATGATCAGAAGTTAAAAATATCAGAAGTGTTTTTTTAGAACATGTGTTATTAAATCTCTCCTAGCACCAATTACTTACAGCATTTCATACCATTAAAAGTAACCCTTCATATTCATGTGCTTCCACAGAGGTGTGAGGATGGATAGTGGGAGAGTCAGGTGTCATCAAGTGATAGATAAATCTGCCCGGTTTCAATTTACCAAAGGCTCAGTGAATCTTGTTCGAAATCTGGCATACTTAACCACCTCCCGCCCGCCATATAAGGTAAAGATGGGTGCAAGGCGGTTCTCTCTCGTTCTGGGAAGACGTCATATGATGTACTCCTACTGTAACCATGCATGCTCAGCTCCTCCCCTGGACACAGCGGATCACCGATCAACGGAAAGAGCCGAAGATGTCGGCTCAGTCATGTGATCAGCTGTGTCCAATCACAGCTGATTGCATGTAAATAGGGAAATGCCGGTTCTCGGCATTTCTCTCCTCACAAGCTGACAGCTCGAGAGGAGAGGAGAGACGGTAATCAGCATTCCTCGGAGGGGACAGTGCGCCCTGATGATCAGTGTAGCCCCAGAAGTGCCACCTGTCAGTGTCCATCAATGCCAGCTGTCAGTGCTCATCAATGCCATCTGCCAGTGCCCATCAGTGCCTCATCAATGCTACATATCAGTGCCTACCAGTGCACATCAATGCCAAATATCAGTGCCCATCTGACCTGTCTTTCAGTGTCACCTATCAGTGCCAGTCAGAGCCACCTATCAGTGCTGCCAATCAGTGCCACCTATCAGTGCCAGTCAGTGTCACCTATCAGTGCGCATCAGTGCTGCCTATCAGTGCCCATATGTGCTGCCTATCAGTGCCGCATAACAGTGCCAGTCAGTGCCACCTATCAGTGCCACCTAATAGTGCTGTTTATCAGTGCCATATATGAGTGCTGCCTTTCAGTGCCCATCAGTGATGCCTGTCAATGCCCATCAGTGCCACCTACTTGTGCCTCCTCATCAGTGCCCATCAGTGCCACCTATCAGTGCCCATCACTGCAGCTTCATTAGCACACATCAATGAAGGAGAAAAATCACTTATTTACAAAATTTTGTAACAATAACTAAGAAAAAGCATTTTTTTTCAAAATTTTCAGTTGTTTTTGGTTTATTTAAAATAAAAAAAAACCCAGAGGTGATTAAATACAAAAATTTCCTATGGGTACAGTGTTGCATGACCGCGCATTTGTCATTCAAAGTGTGACAGCGCTGAAAGCTGAAAACTGGCCTGGGCAGGAAGGGGGTATAAGTGCCCTGTAGGCAAGTGGTTAAACTTTAAAAGTGAATCTTATTGAAGTCTATGGAGGGTAAATCTTGTTTTTGATTCTGGCCATTTTTAGAGCTAATTGGCAAATGTGCAAATTGGCAAGTAAAGTGCTGTAGTAAATGGCATGGGAGGCTGTGCATTGTCACAGAGAACATCTATCAATGCCAAACTTTTTTTTAAATACTGTATAGTGGGATACATTTTTTTATAAGTCTTCATAGGCAACGTTAAAAATACACACATCTTTTTAACCAAGTCCAGACACTTTCACCCCCTTCTAGTCCAGGCCAATTTTCAGCTTTCAGCAATATCACACTTTGAGTGACAATTACTTAGTCATGCAACACTGTAACCATATGAATTTTTTATCCTTTTTTTTAAGACAGATAGAGCTTTCTTTTCGTGGTATTTGATCACCACTGGGTTTTTATTTTTTGCTATATAAATGACAAAATATAGAACATTTTGACAAAAAAATCATTTTTTTTGCTTAGTTTTAGTTATAAAATTTTGCAAATAGATAATTGTTCTTATAAGTTTAGGCCAAAATGTATTCTGCTACATTTCTGGGGTAAATATAACCCAACAAAGTTTATATTATTTAGTCTGTGTGCAAGTTATAGAGTCTACAAACTATGGGATATATATTTGAAAATTGATCAGTTGAGATCCTAAAATGTCAGATGCTGGAATGGCATATGGCAGTGATCAGGACACTGGTATGGGGTATGGTGGTGATCAAGATACTAACATGAGGTATGGTGGTTATCAGGACACTGGTATGGCAATTGCCAGGACACTGTTATGGGGTAGGGGGTGATCAGGATGCTAGTATGGGGTATGGCAGTGATCATGATGCTGGTATAGGGTGGTGGCCGTGATCAGGACACTGGTATGGCATATGGGGTGATCAGGATGCTGATATGAAGTATGGCAGTGATCAGGATGCTGGTGGTGATCAAAACACTGGTGTGGGGTATAGTAGTGATCAGAATGCTGATATGGGGTATGGGGGTGATCAGGATGCTGGTATGGGGTATGACGGTAATCACAATGCTGGAATGGGGGTGTGGTGGTGATCAGGACACTGGTATGGCATATGGGGTGATCAGGATGCTGGTATGAAGTATGGCAGTGATCAGGATGCTGGTATGGGGTATGGCAGTGATCACGATGCTGGTATGGGGTATGGCGGTGATCAGGACACTGGTATGGGGTATGGCGGTAATCATGGCACTCGTAAGGGTTATGGCGGTGATCAGGGTGCTGGTATGGTGTATGGAGGTGATCAGGATGCTAGTATGGCATATGGAAGTGATCAGGGTTTTGGTTTGGATATGGTGGTGATCAGGGAATTGGTATGGTGTATGGGGTGTTTTGTGTGCACTGGAACAGGTGACAGGGGCCTCTCTGCATTATTTATTATGGACATTGTGAGGCAGTGTTTAGGGACACATGGGGCATTAAATTGGGACGCTGGGGTAGCTTGCACTGCAATTTGTGAGTGAACAAGTAGCCTGACAGGCTGCTGCACACTCACACACTGCAGAATCGCTTCTCTCTGCTCTCACACTGAGAGCAGAGAGAAATGATCTTTACTTTCAGTTTCAATGTTTACTATGTGACTGCTGTGATTGGTCACAGCAGTCACATGGTAAAACATCATGTGATGGTCTAAACAGAGCGGTAGTGTGATCTGCTGTGTCCGTGCATCACACCGATCACCAGGCTCTGTGAGCCGTGCACAAGCCATCGATGCAGGCTGATATTCAGCAAGATACATAGACAGCGGACTGGAAGAGGTTGATCATATGCTTGCGGGGGTGCCTTAAAGCTGTATATGGTGTTTCAGAATATTGCAACTTTAATGCAGTCTTAGCAACCACATACATTACCAGTGCATATTTGGTGTGAAATCGATTCTTTTCATTTACAATTAACTTGGCTTACAGGTGAAACTCGAAAAATTAGAATATTGTGCAAAAGTTCATTTATTTCATTTATCATTTCATTTATTTTGGTGGTATTTATTCACCACTGGGATTTTTATATTTTTTTTGCTATGTAAATGAAAAAGTCAAAACATTTTGAAAAAAAGTGTTTTTTCGTATAAAATTTTGCAAATAAATAATATTTCATCGTAAATCTTGGCCAAAATTTATTCTGTTATCTTTTTAGTAAAAAAAAAATAACCCAAATTAGTTTATAACCAACAATTATAATTTTTAACCATATTTTTCTACATTATTATTTGTTTTTTTTTTTTTTTTTTACATACTGTCACCCTAGCAGTACAGTGTCACCATGGTGACACTGTACTACTTGTGGGGGGTGATGAAGATTTATTTATTTTTTACACTGATTGCTTTTACACCCATAAAGGCTGTAAAAGCAATCATTTCTCCTTCTCTCTGGCTGCATTCAATTTTTAAATATGATTTTTGTCTTGGTGCATGTTTCCCAGGGCAGTACCCAGTCCGCGATGCCCTTTATAGACAATATCTTACCTATTAGCCTAGAAAAGGGCCATGCTGTTCAGATTCAGCACTGGACCTATAGTAAAGTTTGGCAAACCCACCACAAACTGAACCCAGGTACGTTCAGCTCATTGTTACACAGAACATAGCATAGTACTAGGGTAAACAGCATGAAAGTGCATGGAACGAGGGTAAACAGTATGAAAGTGCATAGGACTAGGGTAAACAGTATGAACATGCATAAGACTGGGGTAATTAGTATGAAAGTGTATAGGACTAGGGTAAATAGTATGAAAGTACATAGCATAGTGCTAAGGTAAATAGTATGAAAGTGTATAGGACTAGGGTAAACAGTATGAAAGTGCATAGCATAGTAGTAAGGTAAATAGTATGACTGTGCATAAGACTCGGTAAATAGTATGAAAGGCTATAGGACTAGGGTAAACAATATGAAAGCGCATAGCATAGTACTAAGGTAAATCGTATGAAAGTGCATGAGACTAGGGTAAATAGTAGTATGAAAATGTATCGGACTAGGGTAAACAGTATGAAAGTAGAAAGCTTAGCACTAAGGTAAATAGTCGGAAAGTGCATAAGACTAGGGTAAATAGTATGAAAGTTTATAGGACTAGGGTAAACAGTATGAAAGTACATAGCATAATACTAAGGTAAATCGTATGAAAATGCAGAAGACTAGGGTAAATAGTATGAAAGTGTATAGGACTAGGGTAAACAGTATGAAAGTAGAAAGCTTAGCACTAAGGTAAATAGTGTGAAAGTGCATAAGACTAGGGTAAACAGTATGAAAGTGCATAGCACTAATGTAAAAAGTATGAAAGTGTATAAGACAAGGGTAAATAGCATGAAGTGCATAGTATATACAATTTTGTTGCGCTGTATCTTTAAATGTGAAAATATAAACTTATGTAACGCCCAAAAGTGCAAAAATCATTAATATATCATACAAAATCCACTAAAAGGCCCATAAAAAACCACATGTTGTGAAAAAAATCAAGACATTCTTTGTGAATCCCCTAGTGAGTACCACAACCACTGCCATACTCAGCTTCCTACAAAATACTAAAGACCCCAAATTATAGGTAGTTCAGGGATTTCAAATCCCCACTTTTCTCTCTCTTTTCTGCCTGTGCTTCCAGGACAGACCAGATGGCTTCTAATTGGTCAGCACCATCAATGTGACAGGACTGATCAATCAGAAGCCATCTGGTCCATCCTTGAACTTCTGACAAATAAGTAGGGGGAAGAGTGGGAATTTTAAATCCCCAGACTGCTGGAGCGACTGTGGAGGTGCTGACATCTCGGGAACCACAGAGGTAAGTACAGTGGGAACAGGTTCCAGTCTTGATCTTGTGCTCCTTTCTTTATTTCTAAGCAAAAGAATACATTTTTACTTGCATAGTGCAGTTATTAAGAGCAAGGTGCACACAGAAGGCCAGTAAACAAAATAAAATGTATTTCCTGGCACACTAGCTAGCCAGCCAGCAAATCCTATGTGGAAGCCACACGACTTCAGCAAGGCCCCTCTGCATAGTGTGGTTCTAACTCTAGTCTATGAGAGTCTCCATGTTGGGGCATATACAGCAATAGATAAATAAGAGCATGCACACACCAGAAGTCCAGCAAAGCACAAAAGCAGCTGAAAACATTTAATGTGTTCCCGTGCCAGATCCAGCAAGATAAACAAAAATGGTAACTGCCCAAATGTATAAATACCTTTTAGAGCAGGGGGCACATGGAAGATAGTGTAGTATATGATACAGATGCAACTAAGATAAGTGTATTTAAAGCATGCTTTATGATTGCCTAAGAGTTGGTTTTAAACCCAAATATATAAAAAATATACTTTTTTTTCCATAAATGAATATATTTTAATGTAAACATACATACAGCTGTGAGTGTACCTCAGAAAAATGCTCCCTTAGCTTGTCTCAGCCCTCCAAAAACTGCTGGTATGTTGGCGTGGCTTAGGACCAGAGAAGAGTAGGCGGAGATGTGATGTCACACAATCCCTTAGTTATACACACCCTCCAGCCCCAGCTCAAGAACGTGCACAGGTATCTGACATATCAAGCACTGTGAACATGTCTCCTTAGTGCATTCAGGGGAATACACAGATGCCTGACTATATCAGCTCTGCTTACAGCACAGGATCTG